TGTGAAACTTGGGAACCTATTCGGGTGGATTACTCTGATCCACAGTTGTTCTGCAAACGCACTGTAGAGCACAGTCGAGAGGGAACTTTCTTTTGCTCTTTCTTGTCAGTGGGTTTCAGCTCAAGGCCTTGTTTGGACCAAAAGCGAAAGCCTTTATAGCTTCAGCAGTCACCCACGCCGACAGAACTACTATATCAATTCAGCTTAGGTTGTGCAAGCTAATGCAGCCGAGGGTGGATTGCCAGGAAGGGCTCGCCACCCAGTCGCACCTGCAGTCAGCGCGCTATGTCTCACAGTTTCCGGTTTCGGGTTTAGGGTTTCGGGTTCAGCGAGATGCCGAATGCCCGGACATGGCTGACTGGTTCTCAGTAGGTAATGTGGTAATGGGTTGTTGGGACTATTTTGGGGGGACCTTAAGGGCCCATCATAGGGATCCGTTCCACATTCGCCACCTAAGAACCAGGGACGTGAGGCCAAGATGCGATCTGTCCTTGGCAATCCCGTTGCTCAAGGATGTCTCACTCTCCGCGCCCAGGTTGGCTAGAAGTTGGTCGCTTCAGCGCTTCTAGGGTTTTAGGCAGCTTAGGGATTAGGCTCTAGGCTTTCAGTGCTAGGTTAAGAGTCGTAGCAAAGCAGAGAGAACCCGAACGGAGTGTCTACAGCCCAAATCTCCAAGACAGTCCTACATGTGCACTACAGGCATTTCAAGAAGGGGTATACCTTGATTCTTGTTGAGCCTCTTGTTTGAAAACCCTAAACCCCTAGATCCTAAACCCTAAACCCTAATGGTGCTGTCGGGGTCTTGGGGTTTCGGGGACAGCCGCGTTTCGACCCACCTGGCCTCCATGCAACATGAACGCCAGGGTGAAGGCAGGACAAATCCTGTTGATGAGATAAATCCTGCATTATCTGCAGGACCCTAAACTATGGGAATTTTAGTTTGTTCCTTATTATGGGTAATGCAGGATTTACATCATCAACCGCATGGCTGAGTGATGCTATTCTTTCGGGTTCTTTCGGGTTCAGATTCCGGCTCGAGGGTTTGGGCATTCCGCTGGCAGAGGTGCGTAGTTCTCTAAACCAGGGTCCCCTTTTCATCGGTCCGTGACAAAAAGGTAGGGCACTCCCCACAGAGCCCAAGACAGCTTAACTAAGGAATATGCCTTAATAGGGGCCCTAAATGGCCCTAATATTACGATTTAAGGCATCTTCCTTAATTCAGGGGTATTGGGCTCTCTGGATCTGATAAGAAAGGACCCCCAAAAAGAGACCATACGGTTGATGGTATTAGGGTTTTAGGGTCTTGGGGTTTTAGGGCTTTCGGGGTTTCAGGGTTTTAGGGCTTTAGGGTTTAGGGCTTTAGGGTTTTGGGGTTTTGGGTTTCAGGGTTTAGGGTTTATAGGGCTTAGGGATCTAAATCCTGCAGTCCCCATAACAAGGAATGGACCAAAATTGACCCTAATATAGTACCCTAAACAGTAGGATCCTTGCTAGAAGGACCCCCAAATAAGGTGCCGCTTATTTTCGGAATCTCCCAGGTAGTCCACTCGCTGTAAACCTCAGCAAGGCTAACTTCAATCGTCAGAGCCTGGATCCGTGATGGTTCAGGGTTTGGAGTTTAGCATCCCCTTACTATTGTACCATAAGATAGCCCCAAAGCCGGTTCTAACTCTTAAGGCCTCCATGTCAAGCACCTGAATCCGTGTCAAGGGGCCCCAAGACTCGGATCACGGTTATAGTTAGCGTTATCCTCACTAGAGTTATCCTGATCGCAGGAAGGAGTTTATCGATCAGAAGCCCTTAACCCTAAACCCTAAAAAGGGGTCGGTCTGAAGCAGAGCCGATCTCCTTTTTGCCAGCCGTTTAGCTGGCTCAAGACACACTCCTTCTCGAAGCCTGCGTCATTGTGCGATGTCCGGCATCAATCCTGCTATCCTGAAGCTCATGGAGTCAGTGGCTTGGACTTGCAGCACCCCACAAGGAACCCTTAGCGGCTTAGGGGTTTAGGGCTTTAGGGGTTTAGAGCTTTAGGGTTAAGGGCATTAGGGCATTAGGGGTTTAGGGGTTTAGGGGTTTGGGGTTTAGGTTTCTAGCCGCGCTCAGGAGAAGCCTCAGGCAGGAACAGGGAGGCAGAAAGACACCATTCATCGCAACTTGGCCGAGTGCTGAGGGCTGAAGCTATCTCCCCCAGTAGTAATGTAGAGCCCTAGTGAAGAAACGACTCCGCAGAGAAGTGGTTTAAGAATCAGGGGTCCACACCCTTCCCTTACACCCCTAAACCCCTTAAATTGCCTGTTGAGGTCGCCTTGGTGCAGATCACGGCTTCTGTAGGGGCCTTTAAACAGGATCTACTGAGGGGTTTAGGATGCTGTGTTTGTCGAGAACCCTCTAGATCTAGGACATTTTCAGGTGGGTTGTTACCGGTATAGGAGCCTTATAGAAGGTCTTTATACCTTATAGAAGCTTGATGGAAGCCCTCAATACCCTAAACTCCTCACCTGTAGTTTCCTTAAACTAGAAGAACCCAAGAGCTTAAGGCAGAATACTGAATCTGCCCATCCACTCCGCCCGCCCAAAGAATGCCTCAACATGCCCCCACGCCCTTAAGCCCTACACGTGGGCTTAGGGTTTGGGGTTTAGGGTTTAGGGCTTCGGGTTTTGGGTTTAGGGCTTAGCGCCGAAAACCATACACCCCAAATCCTAAGCCCTCGACACCACCTCCCGAAACCGCCAACCCCCGTTGTTCTTTAAGCGAGGCCAGAAGTTCGCGACCTTCTTGAAGGCTGGGTTCTTGATTAAAAGTTTTTTTATTTAAGTTGCCCTAATACAGAAACCATATTACTTACTTTAGATCCCCTTTCTAGTAATTTTAAATCAATAAGAAGACCATGTTATTTACTATAGATCCCCCATTATGGTAACTTAAATTCATATCCCTTAACAAGAACCCCTAAACCCTAAACCCCTATAAAACCCTATAAACAAGCCCGTAATAAAACAAGAACCCAGTAGAGCCACACTTAACAAGAGCCCTGAAGGGTGTGGAGAAGGAGCCGAGGATGTTCCAACAGTTGCTCTGGCGGCTTTAATCTTTGGGGTTTAGGGTTTAGGCTCTTGAAAACACCATCACTGCGAATTAAGAAGATGGAAAATAGAGAAATAGTAAACAGACTCTTATTGCTACGAGTACTAGTGCTAGTACTGCTGCTGCTGCTGCTGCTGCTGCTGCTACTACTACTACTACTACTACTGCGACGACTAATGCTCCTACTCCTACTTCTAGTCCTACTCCTACTACCCGTACTACCCTTACTACTCCTACTACTGCTACTCCTACTCCTATTTCTAGTCTTACTCCTACTCCTACTTCTCCTACCCCTAACTGCTACTGCTACTGTTGCTGCGACTACTGCCGCTGCTGCTACTTCGACTACGACTACGACTGCGGTTACGATCTTCTGGGTTCTTGTTAGGTGGTTTAATATAGTAAATGATATGGCTTCCTTGTTATGATAACTTAAAGCAAATATCCAAAAAACAAGAACCCAGTTATAGGCTATAGATCCTAGGGACTAAGGGCTTAAGCGTATTTGTTTGCCCATACATTGAAACCCCCAGCTGAAAGCGTCTTCTTGGCAAGGTCGCTGCCAGGACCCCGGACTAAAAGTCTAGGGGTGCCGAGTTTTCAGGGTTTTGGGGGCCGATACCCAGAGAGCCCAATACCCCCTAATTCGGGATTATACCTTAAATCAGAATATTAAGGCCCCTATAATTTGGGGTCTATTCCTTAATTAAGGCGCATTGGGCTCTTTGGGTACCCGACATGGGCATGAAGCAGCCCAGGATCATCAAAGCCCGCCGCTGGGCGTTGGAAGCTTGGGTGGCATTCGTGCTTGGCATGTTAGATGTTGGTCCCCTAGGCCCTCAACCAAACCCTAAACCCCAGCATAGCCTTTAAACAAATTCAGAAATAGGTTTGGAGGGGGGGGGGGGGTTTCACTATAATTGTATTAAGGAGCCCCCCAAACCCTATTCTAATGATGAAGGCCCTTACATGAAACCCGAAAAATAGCTAAACTCAAAACCCTCGACTCAAACCTAACAGCTAATTTCCAAGGCTTAGACGCCAAAGTCGAAAGTCTAGCCCTAAACCCTAAACCCTAAGCCCTTTTCCGGAATAGACCATAATTTCCCTAGTTTACGGTCTTCAAGGTAATATTGGATTTATATCATCAACAGCAGTTCTCTAAATTAGGTTCCCTTGTTAGGTCCCCAATATACAGTACCGCACCCTTCGAACAAGGACCCTCCAAAAGGGACCCTACTTTAATTAGAAAGCTACCCCGATGTTCGAAACCCAAACGCATCCCAAACCCTATATCCGCATGAAAAACCCAAAGCAATCAGTATACTGCCGCACCCTGATTAGCAAACCGCCTGTGCCTTAAAGCTTTGATGCTTGGATCGCTAACTCCACATTCCGGGAAGGGTCTACATGATCAGCTTGATTTTTAAGCCTTTTGGGTCTACAAACCCAAAGCCCTAAACCGCAAGCCTTTTGGGTCTACCAAGTCGCTCTTATGGAGGATTTGCTCAGATCATCCTTCTGCCTGGCTGCAACCGCTGCTGTTCTTAGCCGATCACTCCCAGAAATGCTCTGAGTTTTTACCCTGAACCCGAAATCCTATGGCTTTTAGGGTTTGCGGCTAGGGTTTGGGGTTTAGGGTTTAGGGTTTCGGCTTTAATGTAGGAACCTGATTAAGAAACCTTGGGTCTTTATTGGGGTTCTTCATATGAACCCTAATATTTTGGGGTTTCTAGGGCCCGGGTTCCTTAATCAGGCTCCCACACTAAAACCCGAAAGCCTAAGCCCTAAGAGCCATAGCATCAGAGAGCGCCGCCCCCAGAAGCTAAGGACGATCTCAGCGCGGAAGCGCAGCGAGATCTCCCGGTGCACGGCAAGAACATCCCGAGACTGGGGTCTTGTTAAGGAGTTTAGGGTTTTGTGGGAGTTTCATTCAAGTTACCTTAATGTATAGTTAGTATATAACAGTAATAATAGTTATAAAGAATAGAGAATACGAAACTATGCCGCGAATTTAATTTTGTTTACCGGGCTCTTGTTAGCCCAGGGGGGTCCATATACAGTACCATTCTGGAATTCGGCCCCGACAGGCCATCCTTAGTATGGTTTTTGGTCCGTAAATCCATGGTAGTCGTATATATGGACCCTCTGGGTAAGGAGCTTCGTTCAGGTTACCATGAAGTTAGTTTCAGTTACCATAATAGTAGGGATCTATGTTAAGCAATATTGTTGCCTTATGTTAACTTAGATCTTATGTTCGGTAGCAAGAGCCAAGGAAAGAGCAAGCTGAGCCCTTTCCAAAGAAGCTCCAGGCAACAGACGTCCAGCAAGCAGAAGGAGGGTCTTCTAGCGAGAAGGTGCCTTGGGGACCAAATGACCCTTATATAAGTAGGGGCCCCTATACCCCTTATACTATGAATCCCCATATGGTATATGAACCTGAAACCCTTTTAGGGTTCATTTCGTCCTGAAGGTGGCAGAAGCCCAGCAAGGGCTCCATTGTGAGGAAAGCCTGCCAGAAGAGTTCCAGCAAGTTGGGCCTCCTTGCGATGACAAGATGCTGCCCGATCCGCCAATGCCAAGCATGGAAGACCCAAGTACAGGGCCCTCTTGCGGTGATGATTCGCCGCAAGACTCGCCGCTGTCACAGCCAAGCACAGACCGCTTGACAGATCCTAGGTGGCACTTTGGATCACTTTTATGATCATGATTACTGCTTTTATCGTGACTGTTAGTACGGTTACTATTACTATTGCGAGTGTTGTGATTGTTATTGATTACAACTCTTATTATTATCATCACTGTCATGGCCATTATTCTTATATTGTATGGTTATAGGATCCTACAGGGGCATCTACACTGAACCTCCAAACACTTAAACGCCCGAATTTCCCAAAACCTAAAGCTCTCAAAACCCTAAGGCCCTACAGAAGCCCTAAGGCCCGGCCTTTGTACCAAGGGTTTTAGGGTTTTAGGGTTTTAGGGCTTAGGGTTTAGTCTTTGTACTTAGTGGCTGAGTGAGTACACTTTAGACATTTTGGGGTATTCTGGTCCCTTGTAGAACTAAAAAGTGTACACACTTTTGCTGTGCTTCTGAACTCAGCAGCTAAAGCCCAAAAACCCCCTAACAAACCTTAAGCCAAAAGCTCCATAGCTCTAAACCCTATATAAACCCTAAAGCCCTACTCCCTAAGCCCTACCTCACACCCTACTGTTGATGATATAAATCCTTTGCATGACCCTAAGGACCCTAAACTATGGAAAATTATGGTATAGGGTTTAGGTTTAGGGTTTAGGTTTGGGATTACCTCAAGGACCCTAAACTATGGGAATTATGGTCTGTTCCTTCTTATGGGTCATGCAGGATTTATATCATCAACAGTATGGGCTCAACAAAAACTCAATCAAAGGAGCGCTGTGGAAGTTTCGACTTGGCAGCTCCACATGTCTGCCGAGCCCAGAAATGCGAGCGTCGCTATGTCAGCCTTTGAGACTCTTCGATCGCCGATGGGAGAACTTTATGATTTTTGTTTGGCCTTGGGTATTTGGGTCACCCACCTTAGTAGCTGAATTACTACACTTTAAACTTTTTGGGATAATATGATCCCTTATAGAACTGAAAGCGTACACTTTTCTATACTTATGAACTCGGCAACTATAAGGGTCTATCTTAGAACGTATGAACTTTTTGGGAGGCCCCAAAATTGGAGAAGACAGGACTTGTTTGCTTCAGCGGGAGGAGGTATCAGTCGGCCCGTCAGCGAATGCGCACCAGGAATTCGTCTGCTCTTCAGCCCACATTGGGAACTCGAACCCTAGACCCTAAACCCTAAACTCGAACTAGGGGCCAGCGCCCCGCCACAGCGATGGAATAGGGTCATTTTGCCAGAGCTCTTAGGACTTCTAGGATGAGCCTTTGGCGGGTTCTTTAGGGCTTTTTCCGAAGCTCCGGCGTTAGTAGGGTTCAGGGTTTAGGGGTTTAGGGTTTAGAGTTAGGGCCCTAAACCCTAAACCCTGAAACCCAAACCCTAAACTAAGGCCGTTTGGGATTTCGTGGCATGCGGGCTCTAGAGATCAGTCTGTTTGCATCGTGAGCCTCGCGGCTCACAGGCACGCGCTGCGTCTGCGCAGCCCGGCGAAGCTGCCTTTACAAACCGGGCTCTATGACAACCTTAAACCTGTAAGGGTTTAGGGTTAGGGCTTAAACCCTAAACCCTGAACCCTGAACCCTAAACCCCTAAACCCCTAAACCCCTAACCCCTAAGCTCTAAGAGTGAAGAGCTGCTTGCAATGAGGTGTTGGTGAGCCCTCAGGTAAGCCCTAAACCCCCCAAATTCGTGGAGCCTAAAGCCTTGAAGCCTCAATCGTCGTGCTACTCGTACAGTATGTCCGACTTTCTTGCGCATCACCCGCGAAATCACATCATCTGAGTGTCACTAAACCACCCGAAATCATGTCAAAACCCTAAGCCCTACTTAAACCCCCTAAACCCTAAACCTAAACCCGAAATTAGCAAAGGCAGCTTGCTGAGTTAATCTGTCTTGCTTGGTGCGTCTCGTCATGTATAGCCACTCAGGAACGAACCGGGCACAGCAAACTTCACTCTAAACGCGCTTACCCTAAACCCCCAAAAACCTGAAGCCTAAGTTCCAAACAGTCCAAGGGCTCATGTAATGTAGGGGTTCTAACTAACAATCAGTAATAGTTGTGCCCCTATAGGTCCTAGGATATTCTTATACTGCCGCGTATGCCTAAACAGGCTTACATAATATGGGGCTCTTATCATCGGTAACAGTATGCTGCCTGGTAAACCCTTAACCCAGACTCAGACCCCCGGGAGCATCCAAAAAGTAGATCCCTTAAGGGGGGTTCCTACAAAGTACACTTTAGCAGTTAGGGCAGTTAGGATCCCAAAGTAGGGGATCTACCCTTTTTAGATCCTCCCAGGGGTCTAAAAACGTATCGAGTTCCTTTCCGAACGCACTACACCTCTGAGCCTAGAAGCAAAGCCATCGTCACCCTCAAACCCCTAAACCCCTGAACCCCAAGGCCCCAACCCTAAAAGAATCTGAGGCCCCTAAACCCCTAAGTCCAAAGCCCCTAGAACCCCTAAACCCTTAAACCCCTAAAACCCCTACGGCCCGAAAGCCCCAACCCTAAGCCCCTCAGGCCCTAAACCCCTCATCAAAAGAAACCAAAAAAAAACCAAAAGCCTGAGCCCTTAAACCCATCTTCAACTCAAAGTTTATAGGGTTTAGGGTTTGATGGCCCTGTTGGTTCCACGTTGCCCACCATCTCTGGTCCATGGCACCTGCACTCTCGGATCCTCTTTCGGAAATCCGAAAGGGAACAGTTTTGCCTGGAAGCCCGTGTTCTTCTCGCACCGTCTGCACAAGGTGAGTGCTTCGATCATACCCTAGCAAGAGAATGAGAAACCCTAAACCCTAAACCCCTAAACCCGAAACCCTAAAAGGCCCTAAACCACACACAAAAGAAGAGACTGCATAGATGCAACAAGGATCAGAGTGGGACAGCCGGTGCACAGCACGAAGATCCAGGACATGCTGTGGAAGCCTTTTGAATTGCGTTGCTGCGGAGCGGACTGCTGGCCCTCCAGTCTCGTACTTTTTTCAGTAATTTAGGGTATGATAAGGGCTAGCGGTTTAAGGTTGAGGTTTACATCATTATTATTTTTTTATTTATTATTATTATTGTTTTATTTATGTATTATTCATATGATTACTATCATTATTTTTGTTATTATTATTACTGTCACTACGATTATTGCTAGTATGACTAGTGACTCGTCGTACTATTGGAACTCCCAGGGACGGTTGCCAGAAGTATTATTCTAGGCTGGCGCACCAGCGAGAGGATCGTCATCGCAACTGCAGCATTGACAGGCAGTAAAGGTGCAATGGTTACCTAGACCAGTTGTAGTGCCTGTTTCGCAGCTAGGTTGCGATGGCAGGGTAATCATGCCAACAAGAAGAAAAGACAGTTTGAGGAATTACGTTTGAGAGACCTGTTCAGACATGACAAACCTGGGCCCCAGAGAGTTTACCATAAGCTACCTTTTTGGGGGATCCCAGATTCTGATTCCGTCAAACTTGTAGGTTACTATGGGTTAAGGTAGGCCCTATAAACCCTAAACCCAAAGCCCTAAACCCTGAAACCCTAAACCCAAAAACCCTAAAGCCTAACCCTCGACCCCAAGTCGACAGAGAGCTGAGCGGCCATGCGACGTAGCTTTCCGTTCGCCTTCCACCATTTTCAATGCGGTCACAACACTCGTGGCCCCTGCAACTCCACTGCCTCAAGTGTTTTGTTAGGGTTTAGGGCGTTTAGGTGTTGATTGTTTGGGATTTCGGATTTGGGGGGGCCCGGCGATGTTCAATCTAGGTGAAGGGTTTTTTGTAGCTTCACGGTTCTTGCTTACCTTGGGGACCAAATGACCCTTGTAAAGTAGGGGCCCTATACCCTTATACTATGAATCCATACATGGCTATATGAACCTGAAACCCTTTTAGGGTTCATTGCGTCCTTAAGGTAGGCATTCGCAGCGAAGAGCTTAGCGTCGCAAAATGCCGATGTAAGTTTCTCCCTGCAGGAAGCAGCGAGTTTACGCCGCTAAACGCTTACAAAGCATTCGCACACGAAGGACATCGACTCAAGAAATCCTCGAAGCTGGAATGCGGTTATTCTGAATTTAGGCCTTTTTTTTTAACCGGTGGTGCTGCAGACCCCAATGGTGCCTGCCTGAAGCACTCTTCAGAGAGTGAAGCCTGCCAGGCAGGCGCCCAGTAGTATCATCTTGCTCGCGGCCCGAATCATCTCATGTCTAGCTGCCGTGCCAGTAGATGTTGGGTTTTCTCGTCGAATAAGAGCATCCTAAGAATCGAGAATATCTTCCCAATTCTAAGCATGGAACCAGCCAGCACTCGCAGAAGTAGCAGTTTCTTTGGTGGTGATGATGGCACATGTCGTTTTGTGCAGTTGCAGTTGCAATTGGAGTAGACAGCAGTAGGCAGTAGGTAGTGGTGGTAGTACTAGGAGTAGTAGTCGTCGTCGTAGTAGTAGTAGTCGTAGTCGTAGTAGTCGTAGTAATCGTAGTAGTCGTCGCAGTAGTAGTAGTAGTAGTAGTAGTAGTAGTAGGTCTAGTAGTAGTAGTAGTAGTAGTAGTAGTAGTAGCAGGAGTAGTAGGAGTAGTAGCAGTAGTAGTAGTAGTAGTAGTAGCAGCAGCAGCAGCAGCAGTAGCAGGAGCAGCAGCAGCAGCAGCAGCAGCA